GGAAAGAGCAAGACAAAGTTCCGACATATTCGCCATTCATTTCACGAAAAAATTCAAAAGGTTGAGAAAAATGTTCGATGTAATTTGCAATTAATTGTAGAAAATTCTCATAACATTAACAATCAGGCGGCTATTGGATCATTTTTGAAGCATTTGGAGACAAAACATCCACAAAAATAGGAGTTTGATCGATCTCAAACACAAATTTCCGGGTACTGCAATCTTCTAAGCCTTTCTTTATTTCAAATATTCTGAAAAATACAAAAAGAAGAATTAGCAAAAATGATTTATTATGGAACCATTTTATCTTTTAGTTTTGGTGAAAAAGTAAGGTTTTAATAAATATTGTCAAAAAAGCTTTTAATCCTTCTGTTAAAAAGTGCCAAGAAATACTGTAAAATGAACTATTATATTCTTTATATAATAAAGGAAAAAAAGAGTTAGAGCTTTTATTTTTCTCAAATGAAAATTGTTGTATTTGTTGTGATATTTGGAGTGATCATTGGTAAATGCATTCTTATATGGGTATTATATGTCATTGGATTGATGATGATTGGAAAATTTAAAAAAAGAATTATTGCATTTCATACTTTTGATGATAAACATAATGCAAATAATATTTATAGAATAATTGTTTCAATTTTAGATGAACATAAATTGACCAAAATTTTTTTTTCAATTTCATTTGATAATGCTTCTGCTAACACTAAATCAATTATTAAACTTAAATCAATTTATGAACCAAATATTGGTGGAAAATTTTTTCAGATTAGATGTGCATGCCATATTTAAAATTTATGTATACAAGATGGTTTAAAAGCTCTTAAATCTTTTATTTTTCCAATTAGAAAAGCTATTTCATATTTATGGGGACATTCCCAGGTGATGAGAAGTTGAGCTAAATTTTGTAAGGAAAATAATAAAAGACCAAAACATTTTTCAAGGGATGTCCCAACTCGTTGGAATTCAACATATGAATGATTAAACGAATCTTTTTCATATAAAGAATTTTCTCTTATAAAGAATTATTTATGCTTTTTGTTAGCTAATAATATTGAAGATATTAATTTATATCCCGCAAAATGGGATATTTGTGTAAAATTTTAGATATTTTAAAATTTTAAAATGATGCTACCTAATAAATTTAGCGGGGTTTATTATCCCACATCTCATTTTATTTTTACCTATGTGTATTATATTGTTAGTGCAACTCCAAGAATTTACACTGAATTGTAATATTAAAAGATTGTGGTTTTTTTCAATGAAAAAAAAAATGGTTATCTTATTTTAAAAATATACCACCCTTTTATACTTGTTTCTATTGTATTTGATCCTAGATGTAAAATTGATGTTTTACACTGTGAATATGACTATTTATTATGTGAAGTATTAAATCTTGATATAGAAGATAATGTTTTAGATATAAATGTATATTGGTGAAGTTAAACAAAAATAATTATGCAAATTATATAGTGAATTTTGTTCAATTTTCTAGTTCAAATCTACTTCTAATTCTTCTCAATCTAATATTCAACAATTTCCAACAGCAAAAGGTAAGTGGTTGTTGGTGTTGCTGACAGATTTTACTAACAAAGACAAAAAGACCAAGGGAATCCAGTTTCTTTTTCTGAATTTGATAATTCTCTACCAATTCTTTTGAGGTTTGGTGATGATTATTGCAGATACTAATTTTCCAATTTTAGATTGGTGGAGTAGTTCCACGCCAATACTTTTCCAATACTTTCTTTAATTGCAAAAGAAGTTTTAGGGCAGCTCCGCGTCTCCACTGTTGCGGTTGAACAAGCTGTTTAGTTCAAGGAAGACAACATACTTGAACTGAAACATGAGTTCGTATGACACCGATTCATTAGAAGCACAATCATGCGTAGATGATTGGAGAAGGCCGAACTAAGAGCACAAGAAAATCTAAAAAGAAAATGAAGATTTTATAATGATTTATATGATGGGTTCCTCAACGAGAACAATCAACCTGGTGGTGCCAAATAGCGATAAGGTAAAGGGGTGAAATTGGTATATAGGTAAGTAAAATTACGTGGGTTTGATTCCTCTAAACCCCACAGGAACGTAGGCAACTTACATTTTTTTTTGTTAAAGTCAAGCCCTTTTTTTTTTTTTTTAAATTATGTTCAACAACTTTTAAAACAAAAAATAAATTCATTGAAGACTTTTTTTTAAAAAAAAATAAATAAGTTCAAGTCTTAAAGAAAAATAAAATTTTAATTGAAGGCATTTTTTATTTTTTTTAGGTGTATTTTTTTTTAGAAATACTTTCAAACAAAATTTTTAAAATTTTTGAAAAACCGGTCTTCATCAAATTTAAAATTTAAAATTATGCGACTTTGCCGGAAAACCGGGGTCGGAACGGTCGGAAAACCGATCGGAACCGTCGGTTTTGAAACCGTTGACAAACCGGAATCGAAAATTTTCGGTTTGGTTCCGGAACCGTGGCCACCCTTAAGTGTAGTGTGTCCTAAACTTGTTGATCTCCTACTTTTTTAAAAATTTTTGTATCACATACGTTCCTATCGCATGATGAACTATTTTCTTAATTTATTTTATATCTTTTTTTATCAATGAATAATCAAAAAAAAGAAGAAGGGACTAAATTTTTTTCGAAAAACTTTTGTTACTTATTTTTTTGGATATAAAAGAAAAATAAAATTAATTTTTCTCTACAAATTTATTTTTATAGTTTTTATTTTCCTTCCTTCTAATTTGAAGAGAAAATTATCAAAATTCTTTTCCCTTATATTCCTTCCTTATTTCTAAATAAAATAATTTTTGCTTATTAATATTAATTTAGTTTTTTTTCCTCCTATAAGATATTGTATGAAAATATAATTATTTTTCCCTAATAATCCGCATAATGAATAGTATTTTATAACATCATTCAAAAATAGTAAAATTATACTAAAATGATACATCGTATCTTATTGAGATATGCTAAAAAATTGTGATGCTAAAACATAACTTTTAAGTATCATGCAAAGCTTTTCATAAAGTATGCAATAGCAAAAGTCATGCATGATATGACCTACATAAAAAAAAATGCAAACACACTATTAATATATTTTTCAATAGTGATATCAATAGTGATAATAATTTTGAGATTTAACTATTGGAAATAAGAAAATTAAGTTATTTTTTATTTTATTTTTATGATTTATTTATTAATAAATGATTGTTTATTTACTTACAATATTTAATATATTATTTATTTAGTGTACTTATGAGGATATGCTAAAAAGTTTGTGATGCTAAAAACATAACCTTTTTAATATCATGCGAGCTTTTTCATAAAGTATGCAATAGCAAAAGTCATGCATGATATGACCTACATAAAAAGCAACGACTATTATATATATTTTCAATATGATAATCATTTTGAGAAATTTTGAGAATTTAACTATTGAAATAAGAAATTAAGTATTTTTATTTTATTTTTATGATTTATTATAAATGATTGTTTATTTACTTAAAATATTAATGCATTACTTATTTAGTGTAGTGTGTCCTAAGCATATTGATGTCCTATTTTTTAAAAATTGTCATATCTGTACGTTCTCGTATCTCGTGTCCTATATCCGTACAATCTAGCTTATGGTATAAGAAACTACTCCTTACACCAAGCTAATAAACCAATATGTTTTTTTATTACCAATAAAAATAAAGTGTTTTTTAATTTACTTTTCTGTCATTGAAATAAGAAATTGAGTACTTTTTATTTTATGTTTATGATTTATTATAAATGGTTATTTATTTATTTAAAATATTAATATATTACTCATTTAGTGTATTATGTTCTAAGCGTGTAGATGTCATATATTTTTTTAAAAATTATCGTATCCTGTTTCCATGTAACATAGCTCCTGGTATATGAGACTACTCTATATATCAAACTAATCAACCAAGTTTTTTTATTACCAATAAAGTGATTTGTTTTAATTTGTTTTTGTGTCAATGAAATCAGAAATTAATTTTTTTTATTTTGTTTTTATAATTTATTATAAACTAGATGAAGGCCCGCGCTTTGCGTGGGTTTAAATTTTATAAATTGTGTTTAGTATAATATTAGAAGATCTATTTTTCCTTAGGCTTTATTAGATTATCATGTTATAGAAATTGTTAGATTATCATGTTATAGAATTGTAATGTATTAAATTTATGTTAAATAATTTAAAAATTCAATTAACTATGTTTTAGATTTTGTTAAAGTTTATAATTCAAGAATAATTTAAAATATTGTATTCCTATAACAAGATAATTCTATATAGATAAATTTTATAATTCAATAATCCAACCAAGGATAATATATAAATAAATATTATTTTTAATTTATTACCTTAATAGTAAAATAAATAATTTTTAATTATTAATATTAAATTAAAAGCATAAAAATAAAAGAAAAATAAAAAATTCCCCCCCCCCCCCCCCCCTCCCCCCCCCCCCCCCCTTTATTAATATCTCTTGATTCCAAAATATAAATTTAAATATATTAAAAAAATAGGAATTTAAACAAAAGAAAATCAAATAATTTATATATTATTTAAAAAATTGAAAATAAATTTTCAGAATTTGAAGGCCTAATTTTAAACCGTAACAAAAAAAAAAGAAAAAAAAAAAAAAAAAAAAAAACCCTAGAATATATGATTTCTCGAATCTCTTGCTTATTATTTTTTTTTTAAAAAAAATTGAATCTTATCCTTATTAGTTTTTTTTCCATCTATTATTTATGAATTTATGAATGTATTATATAAAACTAAAAATTCAAATTCATAACATCTAAATAAAAAATTTTAATTAATTATTTTATAATTTCTAAATAATCAACATTTTAAATTTTTGAATAACATTAAAATTAATTCAAGAAATTGCTAATAACCATCCACAACGTCCAACTAACAGATTTCGGATCAAATAAAGAAATAGATAATTTTTTTATGAAGAATTGTATTTGTAATTGCACATCAACAGTATCATAGAAAGAACAAATGTATTATATTAAAGAGAAAAAAAATGACAATTCATTTCATTGAGAAAGTACGGCATAGTCGTGCCCAAATACTAGGTTGATTTGTTGAGGACAGAAGCATGCGTACATCCTATTTGTTATAAAGACTCTGAAATGAAAGCAAAAGAAAGGGTTTGGACTTAAAACAAATACACATCAATAGAGGAGGTGAAAGAGGTATTTAATTAAATGAGATATCTTCAATTGGACAAAGGCATAATCTATCAAAGTGAAATGTCTGCATAAGCATAAAGTTTGCCTCCTTCGACATTGATGGTCCATCCTTGCTCTTTTGCAAAGCTTAGCTGCCTATAATATAACATAATCAGAATACGTTGATTATCTAAAAACTGTAATAAAACATTAAGAGAAATTGATACTTGCACCTGTTTGCGAAATGGGAAAAGGAATTTGTTGCACTATAAAGTTAGGAAATGTGGCAAACAAAGGTACCCTGTGTTTATAGTGTTTTGAATTAGTGAATGATCGTAAAAAGACATCACATATAATTCTTAATAGATAAATAGATAAGATAGATAGGGGAAAAAAAATTCAAAGAAGAGAGCGCTTATTCTTCTTTCAAACTAAAATATACAATGCAACGAAAAGAAAAATAAAATGAATACACAAAAGAAGGGACCATGAATACACAAAAATTATAATCAAAGAAGGGACCAAGAGATTACCTGGACCAAGAGATTACCTTAATGTCAATTGCCATATCCACCTATAAAGGAATATCAGAATAGAGAACACTAATCACATTCATATAAAAAAGATTAAATCAATATAAATATGAAATGATGAACAAATGACACGAGACTTCCACCGGCTAGTACAAAATGAAAATATTCAAACCAAGAGATTTAGGTTGGCATATATATAGATAAATATAGATATTATATAGATAGATATTATATAGATAAGAAAATATTTAAAAAATTCAAAAATTTGAATACATATCTATGTAGAGAGAAAAGATTTTTAAAAAATATATAACCAATCAAAATAAAAAAATAAAGAGAAAAAAGAAAAAAGACCCAAAATTTTCTAAAAAAAAAAAGGAAAAATAGAATACTGAAAAAGGAGAGTGCCATGTCAATATTTTGAAAATTTTTTTTTTCAGGATTATATATATATTATATATATTATATATATATATATATATATATATATATAATATATATATGACAAGTTTAATTTTATTCGAAAATATTCAATATATTAGTTACATAGTGTACTGTGTCCTAAGTGTGTAGATGTCTTTATCTTTTTTTAAATTATCGTAATCTCGTATCTTATGTTTGTGCAACTAGCTCCTGGTATATGAACTCCATATACCAGCTAATCAATCTAAGATTACCAATAAAAATGAAGTGTTTTTTTTTCTTAATTTGCTTTTGTGTCATTGAAATAAGAAATTTAATATTTTTTTATTTTATGTTTATCTATTTGAAATATTAATGTATTACTTATTTAGTGTAGTGTATTTTAAGTGAGTGAATATCCTACCTTTTTTAAAAATTATCGTATACCGTATGTTCCGTATCTCGTGTCCCATTTCATGCAACTCAGCTCTTGATATATGAGACTACTCTATACATCAAACTAATCAACCAAAAAAAATTTTTATAACCAATAAAAATTGAAGTATTTTTAAATATTTTTTGTGTCATTGAAATAAGAAATTTGTCATTGAAATAAGAAATTAAGTTTTTTAGTTTATGTTTATAGTTTATTATAAATTATTATTTATTTATTTGAAATATTAATATATTACTTATTTAGTGTAGCGTGTCCAAAGTGTGTGGATGTCATACTTTTTTAAAAAATTTTCACATCTCATACGTTTCAATTTATATTTTTTAAATTGCTTATATATTGTTTAATCTAATAGTAATATATTGTTTATTCACACTCCTTTTAAGCGTGTGGATTACTTATTAATTATTTTATAAGAAGAAATAAATTTGTATTAATATATTAAATTAAATGTTAGAGATAATCTTTTTTATAGATATTATTTGATAGGGCAGATTTATCTGGAAAATATTAAACAACTGCATATTTACAAATTCTTTACAATTGTTGCTAAAATGTGGTAAATTTCTAACATCCGTCATATTATAATCTAAAATTTAATGGATCAAGAAAATAATGTCAAGTGGCAAACTGTGCTACTTACACTTGGCTTTCATGTAAAGCAAATTACCCTGCTTTATATATTATATAGATAGATATAGATTTTTCAATTGGGATAATAATTTTGAGAATTTAATTATATTGAAATAAGAAATTAAATATCTTTTATTGTATGTTTATTATTTATTATATATGATTGTTTATTTATTAGCATATCCCGTACATTTCCATATCTCGTGTCCCGAGTCTGTGCAACCTAACTTCTGGTATATAAGACTACACATACGTCAAGGTAATCATTAAAATAAGAAATTAAATATTTTTTATTTTGTAGTTTAGGTTTTAATTTAATTTTAATTAAAATAATTATAATAAAATAAAAAAATTAAGTGTTTTTTATTTTATGTTTTTTTATTTATTCTAAATGATTGTTTATTTATTATCATATATATTGTACGTTCTGTATCTCGTGTCCTGTGTCGGTGCAACCTAAATCTTGGTATAAATTAAGTAATTTTTATTTTATGACTTGGGTTATTTGTATTTTAATTTAATTTAATGCATTATCTTGATGGGATGTAATTAATAGATATTATCATGAATGTAAGACATTATCTAAAAATATTAAAAATAACTTATCTTTCTCACAATTTCCTTGTCATTGCACCTTATTTTAATTTAATTTAATGCATTATCTTGATGGGATGTAATTAATAGATATTATCATGATAAAGACATTATCTAAAAATATAAAATAACTTATCTTCTCACAATTTCTGTCATTGCACCTTATCTTCTCATAACCGTACTAAATAATTATCATTCTTCTCATCCTTGACAATTTTAGAGGCTTCTACTTGGCTTCAATATAATGCAAATTGCTATGCTTTTATATATATATATAGACAAGATGTTTGGAGGGAATCCAAATTTTCATAAAATAATATTTAATATCAAAGATGGCACTTGGGGCACGAGCACATGTGAGATTTTCTAATGATAAATTTTATTTTTATTTTATTTATTTTATTTATTTAATTATGAATTTAAAAAAATAAAAATAAACTGTATTTTACTGTCTTTATTTGTATGAAACGCTGCCAAGAAAAAAAAAATTCTAAATAAAGAAAATTATTTGTCATCTATTAAAATAGTTCCCTTCAAAACAACAAAGATCTTCTTCCATCACTCATATTTTACTTATCCAGAAGTTCTTAGAAGAAATCTTAGAAAATTGCTGTTTGCGATTTTTTTTTTTGGCTTTGCTATATCCTGAATAGTATTGCTATAATCCTGTGGCACACCTAGTGAGGGCAATTAATTTCTGAAAGAAAGATATTTTCTTTCACTCCTCAAAGCCATAAATACACCCACTGTCATAACAAGTCCTCTCGACCACTATTATTTTTACTAATTTGGTGAGCCAAGGGAATGACTACCATCTGTTATGTAACCCATAATGTCATTTTAACTGATAAAAGCCTCGAACGAATTAAAAAAATTATCAAATACCCATCCTCCTTAAACATCAACATTAACACACAACTATCTCAACCACTTATCATAAATTTAATTTATATCCTAAATAATACGATTTATCAATCCATATATATATATATACATGTCTAAGCATATGATACATAAATAGCTTTCACCATTAACTATTATTTATATCTTTTAATTTATATCCTTAAACATTCAAAGCTTTAGAATTAACTACTTTACACTCAAAGCTTTAGAATTAACTACTTTACACACTTATACTAATATATCTCCTAAATCAAGCAGGAAATATATACATATCTCTCATATCTCTCTTTACCCATATCAATGCAAGGGCCAAATTTCTGAAGCCTAGTTCAAAGGTTCTTAGATTAAACATTCATACTAAGTAAAACATAACCAATCTCATAGAAGTTGCCATATCCTAAAAGTCCTAAATTCTAACTTAAACTCATAGCCTACGGTCTAGCAAATTCATTAATCATCAAGGAATTCAATTATTTATTTACAAATATTGCATTATAAAAGTAATGATCTAGACGCTACTATACAAGAATTCATTTATATACCAACAGGTAGTAAAAATCATAATTTCATCAATAGCCTAACATAAATAATATTTATATCCTACTCAACTTGTCTAAGACTTAGATTATAGCTTCCCTTAACAATATTTATTAAAAATCCTAAGTTAACTTACATAAATAATAGCCAAGGATTCTCATTTCTACATCAAAGCTTCTAACTATAATCAAAATTCATGAAATATATTTGACAATATTCAAATTAATTTACAACTTACAATATGTCAACTGACTATTTCCTAGCAAGAATTGAATCTACTACTTCAAGTATTCCGATTTATCTTTCATGTTTCGATTTATAACATTTATTCTAAATGACTTGTATTCTTAATTTTTAGGGTTAACTGTATTTATCTATCAAGGTTCCCTAACAAGAATTATATTCGATTAACTGTTTAATCGCAATCAACTTATAATTTTAACTTTAGAGTTTATACCAAAAATGAGGAACTAGGTCTTAGAGCGTACCAATCAAAAATCAGATTACGATTCCACGATCCGCGTGAGAAGAAGATCATTCTGCCTCTTGGAACCTCGCCTGACCTCCGCCGTCACCGCTGTGCACGGTGGTCGAAAATCGAGCTTCACCAAAATTGGGTGATTCTTACACCATCAGGCTCGAAATTTCATAATGAGCCTAAATTCAACATCGATTCATGAAGTTACTGCATCTGTATGTCGGAAATAGATCCGACAGCCGCTATACCTCTACCACTCACGGTTGCTCCTCAAATCTTCGGTGAAATTGCAAAATACTAAAGGAATCTTGCTCATAGCGCCATGGAGAGTCGACTTATGCTCTAAGTTTTTAAATGATAAATTTTTGAAAAAAATTTTCCGAATCATTTCACAAAGGTACTTGTGTTTATAATGTTTTGAATTAGTGAACGATCATAAAAATACATCACATATGATTCTTAATAGATAAATAGATAAGATAGATAGGGAAAAAAAAGTTTCAAAGAAAAGAGTGCTCATTCTTCTTTCAAACTATACATACAATGCTACGAAAAGAAAAATAAAATGAATACACAAAAGAAGAGACCATGAATACACAAAAATTATAATCAAAGAAGGGACCAAGAGATTACCTACATGTAGTACTTATACCGTTAGAGATCAAATAGACTCGTATCTAAACACACTTACTTTGCTGTTCCTATATCAAAACAAAAGCCTAAAATTCTTTCAATCAGCCAACAAAATTTTAAAAATTAAATCAATATAAATATGAAATGATGAACAAATGATATGAGACTCCCATTGGCCAGTACAAAATGAAAATTTTCAAACCGAGAGATTTAGGATGGCATATATAGATAAATATAGATATTATATAGATAAGAAAATATTTAAAAAATTCAAAATTTGAATACATACGATGTAGAGAGAAAAGAATTTTTAAAAAAATATATATCCAATCAAAATAAAAAAAAATAGAGAAAAAAGAAAAAATAGAATACTGAGAAAGGAAAGTGTCACGTCAGCATTTTAATTTTTTTTTTTGTTTTAGGATTATATATATATATGATTGTTTATTTATTTGAAATATTAATGTATTACTTATATGGTGTACTGTGTCCTAAGCGTGTGTGTGACATCCTACTGAA